ACCAGTCTAGCAAAGTGAGCTACTGTGGCGAGAGACACTGTGGGAATAATGACAACTGATTCACGAGGACAAATTGGAGCCCTGTGCCGACTTGCCTGGATGAAATCACTTGACATGACTTTGCCGGGCAGGTTTTCCCAGGTACGTATGACACAGGGAAGCTTCCTCACGAGCAGGAGAAGCCGACATCATAAGCAAGAGAAGCGTACATTTGGGTGGAGGTGTGGGAATGGGAGGGGAGAAGGAAAGGAGAGCGAAGGTGCTTATTGTTTACCTCTTAGACCTTCACTATTTATATTTTGTATTATTATTATTAATATTAATTTTGTAGTGCTGGGATTGAACCCAGGGCCTCAGATATGCTACACAAAATGCTCTATCACTGAGCTATGCTCCCAGTCCTTTTTCCTTGCATTTTAACCCTCACTATTTATATTTAAGAATTCAAGATTTTCATTTGAAAATGTTTGCTTTTTGTTTCTGGATTTTTTTTTTATTGAAAATTTTATTTGCTTTAAAATCAGTTCTCTGAAAAGATAATGTATTAGTCAGGATTGATCAAATGGATAGAATATATATATACACAGAGACAGAGACAGAGAGAGACAGAGAGAGAAGAGAGACAGAGAGAGAAAGAGACAGAGAGATAGAGGGAGAGACAGCCAGCCAGAGATTTTATTAGACTGGATTTTATGGTCAGAGGATGGACGGCCCCGCAGTGGTCTCCTGCAGGCCAGAGAGCGGAGGAATCTGGTAGCTACTCAGTCCAAGACCTGGAAGCCTCAAATCAAAGTGCCACCCAGCTCAAGGCTGAAGACCTGAAAGCCCCCGGGAGATTTTCATCTTCATTCCAAGGCTGAAAAATATGGAGTCTGATGTCCACAGGCAACAGCAGCAGCAAGGACACATGCCCGCTCTACGAGCATGGGTGTGTGTGTGTGCTGTGAGTGTCTCCCTGCTCTGTCGGATCATGTGAGATAGCCGGAACATCAAACAAGGAAGGGCATGAAATCGTCTCTCTGTTCAAAGTGTGGAGTCCACACTGCTCTGTCTCATTTCACGTAATAACGAGCATGGGAGCTCTGCAGAAGATAGCAGTCCTTCCTTTGCCCAGTCTTCTCTCATACCTTGTCATGTGTTAAAGTTTCTCTATGTAGGTCGTGCATATGCCTTGTTATGCTTACTCCTAGATAGTCTATCATTTTTGTTCCTTTTGTGTTCTCATATATCTTAAGTAGTCATTGTCTATTCATGATTTAATTTCAGTTTATTCACTTTTTACCCTTTATACCTCTCCTTTTGCTGGTACCAGAATTGAACCCAGGGGCTCACACATACCAGGCAAGTACTCTACCACTGAGCTACATCCACGGCCCCTTTCATAATTTTATTTTATTTTGAGACAGAGCCTCACTAAATTGTTCAGTGTAGACTCGAATTTGTGACTCTCCTGCCTCCCTAATTTTTAAAGTATTTTTAAATATCCCTGAGTAGCTGAGACCACAAGTATGCACACCACCTTGGGCACTTTTCTCTTGATTTTTAAACATCTTCACAAACTCTAAGTAAGTTTAATCAATCCTACTCTTTTGACCCAGGTTTCTCTTTACAGTGCAAAGCTCAGGTTCTGAGGTTTGTGATGATGAAGCCATGGTGGGCTCAGGACTTCTCACAATAAGCTGTACCTCCTGACACTGAAACACTACTTATTCAGAGGCTAAGTATAAGGGCACTGATAGACTATAGTGCAACCAAAACTACAAAATAAATTCACAAATCAGTCCCACTGAGGTACTGAGACACAGCTAGTATATATCTCTCACAGATCTTTAGTTTGTCAATTAAATTATCATCTGTGTTTCTTTGGTGTTTGCCGCCAACTAAGCTTCACATTTTTTGAAAACCCAAAGAAAAACCTTTTCCTGTATCTTGTTTGAGGCCAACCCAGTACCCATGAGCTCATCCACCAGAAAGGTCTTCCCGCACAGTCATCTGAACTGCTTGCTATAATAAGGACATACGATATTAATGCAATATAACTGCAGTAAATGCTTTCCATTCCTCTATTTGTAGGCAGTCATAAGTGTCCAAAAGGGAACAATGCTATAGATCTATTATATACCCTTCCACTCTGTGAAGCAGTGTAAGCGGGTGACTTTTAAGTGGAACAACCTTATATAGTTATTTTCCAAAAAAACTTGGACTCAAAAGGTCATTTAATTCAAAATCCAAATATTTGTGACCAAATATAATTTCCTTTCAATAAAACCCTTACATTTTCATAATAGTCTATGATAACTGCTTCCAAATTATACTAAAGTATTTTTAAAAATCAGGTTTCCATTATTCAGGAGAAAATTATAAGGTCTGCAGCTCTTTCTAGGCCAAATTTTTCTCTTGATGCCCATTTTCCAGTTATTTCAGGTTTTACTGGCAGCTTCGTCAGAGAGCATCAGGGAGAAATGGAAAGCATGGGATCCGGAGAACTGGGTAAAGAATACAGAGTGCTTAAGCGCATCTAATCCAACCTACCACCTCCTTTCACAGTAAAGAAACCAAGAAAGGGAACTGTAAAATGACCGGCCTCCCCCTCATACGGGGACTTCCAAGAGAGCCCGCGCTGGGGGCCAGGTCTCTGTCTCCCTGTGCATCACTCTTTCTGCCACATCATGTACAATATTTTGTCAGAGTACCCTTTTCCTGTGAGGCAATCTCATTTGTTCCCTCAGCTGGCATTTCTACTTGTGTAACCAACTGACTTAATGTAGCATAGCGAGCCCTCCCCTGTCTATGCCCCGGTCGGTGCTACAGCCATTCTCCCCTCATTCACAACCACCTAACATCACTTTGCTGAAAATGAGCCTATTTTCAGTTTACACCACCTCTTTCCTTCCTGTATTTCCTGTTCTGTTTCTTGGCTCAGTAGTCACCCAGCTGTCTAAGTGCCCCCCTTAGCCTGTACATCTAACTCACTGTCCAAGTCCACAGTTCTAGTCCCTGACAGGCCTCACACATATCTTCACCTCTTCATCTCTGCTTGCACAGGTCATGGGTACCTGTCGCCAGAGCTCTCTGCACCTTTCTCTTTCCTCTTCAAGGTGTGCTCCACACTCCCTTCAGAGTCACTTTTCCAAAGAATAAACATTGTTTCACTATGCTCCTGTCTGAACCTTAGTATTGTTTTCTTCATGTCCCTTAAATCTAGCCCACATAGCAGTTATTTAATGTACTTAGTGACCTGTCCCCCGTTGGCCTAACTTCACCTCCCACAAAGACTTTTCCATGTCAGATTTCATGAACTATAAAACACAATTCTTTAAACTCATTGAACTAATTTGTGTCTCTACATCTTTGCATGTGTGTCCGCCTTCCTCTCAGATACTGTCCTCTCGTCTCTCCCACATGCTGTCCTCTGTTACTCTCAGGTTCATCCTGCAAGGTCTGTACTCAAAGAGCGCCGGAAGTGGTGCTTTATGGAAGAGCACTTAGCTTCCCTGCAAGTCACTGGATCAATTCAGTGTCCCAAAATAAAAACCCAGGAGAAGAATCTCCCTCTCAGTGAAGCCTCTAGGCAGAGTTTATTTTTTGACCCCTCTACGGTGGCTTAAATGGATTTCTATTGTTATACATCACATCATTTTATAATTTCTTTCCTACATGATACTGTGGTATTTATTTCTGCCTCAAGACCTGGCACGGTGCCTGAATGAATGGAAGAAAAACTAAATAAGGATAACAGAAATCTAGAGAAACATTTATTTTATGGTCAGATGTCACCTAGTGTACTTACAACATTACGAAAATAATGCCATTTTCTCAGTGCTGTTCAGAATGGACTCATTGCCTGAGCTATAGAATTGAAATGCTTTATATGTATTGAATTTTTAAAACTATAATTTAGAATGATTATGATACATTACCTTAACCTTTCATTGAATCGAGAACTTGTTTCCTTATATGAAATCACTGCATATAATTTTCAGCAGATAACACAATAATCATTTCAGCACAACATACAAATTAGGAAAAGATCTTACATTTTATCTCTTTTTCAATAGGTATTTCATAGACTGTTTCATGTGTCTGTAGTGCCATTAGTCAGCATCTGTGTCTCTACCATCTTTAGTCAAATACATTTTGTTATACATTTATTAAGAAGCTCTGGACTCGTGGGCTTTAAGCACATAGATGGAAGAGGCTATTCCATACGCACTCATAGATCAAATACGAGGGGAGTAACGTGATGCTACTAAATTAAATGGGACCATTTAGCAAGCTGCAATATTAGCCTAGGGACTGGCTATTTCATTTTAGTATTTCTCTTACTTTTTTACCAAGCACTATAGAAAAGAATGATTTTTTATTCCTGGGGGAATATAGATGCTCATCTCTTGATACAAAGGTAGAATTTATTTGGATTCTTAATTGTATCTAGATATTTCATTTTATTCTATTACACATCATATTAAATGACTTTGTTTTCTCTGTGCATGATTCTCGAGCTCACGCCCAGGACCTTGTACATGGTAGGCAAGCACTCTACCACTGGGCTGTGCCTGCAGCCCCAATAACTTCACCTCTCTGCATAACTGTAGAAATCCTGGCCGGGAATAAGCTATAGTCTCTAGCACCTCCTTTCATTTTGCTATATGTGCCACAGGTTATAAGGTACAGAGCTTAAAAAGCAAGGAATAGTGTAAGAAGTACGGAAACCTACTGCATAGACTCGGGTCAACCTCTGGGTACGCCACTTACTAACTTTTGATCTGCAACAAGACATTTCATATTTCAGCTTCATTTTCCTTCCTTAATGAGAATAATCACACCTGCCTTACTTCCTCAGAGGGTTATTTTAAAGATGGAATGAAAATTGCTCAGATCTAAAGATTTGAGCTTGGGAAATGGGCAGGAACAATGGGAAACGAGGCACCCAGAACCACAGCCAAATATCCCATATTGAAGCCCTGCATCAAAGACACCAACAGCCCTGGATGTCTTACCATGGGCTTTCTGCCACCACTGCTGGCCCTGGATCAAGCTTGTGGAGGATCATTGTTCTTCCCACCAGCAGCGCCAAAATGATTATCATCTCACCAAGTCCTGATGCCAGCTGCAAGGATGGCTGGAAATGTCTGGATCAGGACTTCTCTTCTTTCACAGTGGTATGTTGGCCTATGATCCCAAAATGGATTGCTCTTTCAGATCCAAGAGGGAATTAAGATGCTGGACTCGCACAGCTTCTTTCCTGAACTCTTGCCATAGTCTTGTAATCTGAATGGAATCAGAAACACTGCCCCCAGCAACGCCCCCTCCAACCCACTCTGCCTGCTGGTATCCATTTCTTTTGCAAATAAAAATCCAATTCTGTGATTGTTCCATCCCCCCGCTCCCTGCAAGACCCACATAAAAAAGCAAACTCATTGGAATAACCTCAAAATGGGCTCACCCTCCAGCCTCACCCTTGTGTGCATTCCCTGCTCTGCTGCACCCTCCCGCTTGGTTCAAAGGCTGGAGTCCTAACATCTCTGTGTGAAAAGGGTAACTATGCGGGAACGGAACCAATAGGCAGGATGGGGATGTCTTCCCAGTTAGGGTGGAGGCTATGAGACAGAAGAAAGAGGGGCTGAGAACGTGCAGCTGTGGTGGTGCCATGGCCTGCCTGTGAGCAAGGATGAAGAAAGCACAAAAGACAGGTGGAAAGGAGACAAGAAACACTGTGTTTAAAAACTGTAGTCTCAGGAAGACTGCAACTTCAGGACGAAAAGTCACCCACAGCTCCCATGTTTTACTCCACACCTCTCTCCTTAGTCTTTTTTTTTTTTTCCTTTCAGATCCGTTCTACTCAAATTCCTTAAAGATGCACTTTAGTTCCCAAATTAAGCTAGCTGATAAGGTAAATGGCAAAACCTCTCCTTAAGATGAAGACATAGTCTTCAGAGAGTGTTCAAAGAGTGTTTTAAGGCAGAACACCTCAGATTAGCTATCTAAAAGGATACCACCACAGGACATCCACTTCCTCAACTCCACACAACAGGGCACCTCTTTCAAGAGCCCACACTCTGCTCAGCCTCATCAGAGCTGTTTGTGCCTCTCACTGACCTGCGTCCTGAAATTCTTTTTATGTGATAACAGTCAAGCACCTACTCTGTGGCTGAGCTAAGGTTCCCACCTCTTCTCTGAGGGACCGTGTTGGGCCCCTCTGCTAGTCCCTCTGGGCAGTGGAGAGGGACACTGAGCCTGCCAGAGGACAATGCCTCCTGGCAGAGGGCAGGAGCCAGTGTCAGAGAGCAGCATGTAGCCCGAGAAGCAAGCGCACATCTCTGTCCCATTTTCCCAGACACACATAATCCTAGTGAGATAGAAGATAGAGTTCGGCTTAGACTGGCTGGGAAGAGAGGCATGGCGGGATCCCAGAATCTACACAGTTCCATCTCTTAGGACTCTGGATGTAAAGTTCTCGCAGGTTCCTATCAGGTGTGGATGGCATAAAAGGTCAGTCACCATCAAGAGCTGACCCTTTACGGTATCCTGCCCTGTGTCTCCCAGACCCACGGTGCACTTTTATTTTTGCTTTTATTTTTTCCTTTCTTTTGTTCGGCCCAAGTTAGCTCTGCAGAGCCAGTTTCTCCTTAACCCCTCACTTTCAATAAACTTTGGCTCCATTTTTGCTTGTCTTGTTCAGTTCTTTGTTTGCGACAAGAAGGACCTGGACACATTTAATTGGTGAGCCTTTTTTTCTTCTTCTTTTTGAGACGGGGTCTCACTGTGCAGCTCAGGCTGGCCTGGAACTCACTATGTAGCCCACACTGGCCTCACACTTGCAGTGATCCTCCTGCCTCAACCTCCAGAGTGCTGGGATCACAGGCATGTACCATCAAGCCCATCTCGGCAAGGCATTTCTAAAAGGAGATACCTTGTAACACTAGGATGCCTGTTTTGACCCATGGAGAAAGAAATTTTCTCAAATAAACACCATGAAACATTTTGCCTGATGATCAAAGTGATTTCAGGTCAAATTACACTAAATTTAGAGAGAACTGCACAAATACGTACTAGAAAACAGTCACACGTATGACAGTATACACTCGGGTTATTTCTGTACCAATGGAAACAACCCTTTCGTTTGGTAACTGCTACTCAGATAACCCTTACTTAGCTTTCAAATTGGCTCCAATATGCAGAGAAGGAAAACTGGAAGAATTCAGAGTACACTGCTAAGATTTATTATCTCTAGGCAAGGAGAGCCAAGGAAGATGAGGAGAACTTGTTGCTTTATACCTTGCCACCTGGCTTGAATTTGTCACAACATTAAAGTATTATTTTTATACTTACATTTTCAAAAGGTAGAGAAATGGTGGTGTCTCCTTTGCTGTCTTCCTTTAAAAATGATCTAAAAGGGGGCTGGGGCTTTAGCTCAGCGGCACAGCGCCTGCCTGGCAAGTGCAAGGTCGTGAGTTCGATTCCTGGTAGCAGAAAATACCAAAAAAATAAATAAATAAAATCAAACAAGGTTGTCACTTCGGTCAGTTTGTTGGGGGCTGGGGATTTAGCTCAGCGGCAATTGTATCTGCCTGGCATGAGCAAGGTCATGAGTTCGGTTCCCGGTAAAAACCAAAAAAAAAAAAAAAAAAAAAGAATCTAAAAGGTTTCGTCAGGGGATCACAAAAGTCATGTGGGAAATGAAAAGCAAAAATACCTTAAGTGATTTTAAAAAATTGTTACAATCTTAACCTCAGGGAGAGCTGTTGTCTCAGTTACAATGTACTTATCCGCACGTGAAGGACAAAGTAAAATGAACAGTGTGTGCTGCCCGTCCTTGGTCTATGCAGACAGTGCTCTCAGCGCTGTGCAAGGCCTGAGCCTTCCCCAGCTTTCCTCCCTGCGCTGGCCTTTTCAACATCTCTGGACCTGACATGGGACAAGGCCCAGGATTCTCAGCTGGGCCCAGCAGGTTGTCCTGGCCTGCTCCCACTGCACACACACACTGAGCTTCACACTACTCTCATCACATGGGCATCTACTGTATTTTATCGTTTGATTTTGAGAAATGTTTAAAGACAGATATTACTGTAACAGAGGCTCCACTGAAACTGTCCTTTTCCCTTCCTTTCTTTTGCCTTGCACCCTCCCTGACCCTGTTACTGAAGCCAAGATCTTCCTTAGGTTTTTAATTAGCTGCAAGAGCTTGCAGAAGGTCAAGGTTCACTGCAGTGTTCTGGTCGGAGGTGAGCACTAGGAAACTCACCCTAGAAGGCAAAGGCCTTGCCCAGTGTGAAGCTTTTGTGCTCCCTGTGTACCTCCTTTCCTCTCCCCATAGCAGCACGGTGCTTCTGAGCCCTCCAAGACAGAGCTTTGGGGAGCTAGCCCCTCTATTTTCCTCAGGACTGGCTTTGAATAAATGTATCCACTTTCTACTAACTCTTGTCCCCCCAAATTGTGGCTCTTTTAAGTGACAGGCAGCCTGGACATTGGGCACTGGTAAAATTACCTCTTTGCCATTGAGGAAAATTCCTGTCGTTTTGGTAGAGCTGGAATAGGAATGCTGGTTTCCTGATCATGAACAAAGTTTTCTCTTTTTCCTCTGTATTGCTGCACCTCTTGTACTGTTTCATAAGAGCAAAATTCTGAGATGTCCTAAATTTGTTTATAAATGGTGGGAAAATGGAAGGTAGAAAAAGTAGGAGGAGCTTAATCAGTAACAGGGTACAGGCCAAAATAACAAAAGGCCATTTTACATTTTTGAACATATGTCAAAACCTTAAGAATATTTTCAGAATATTTTCAGAATATTTTCGTGACTTTCAACATACCCTAAGCCAGCCCAGACTACTGCTTCCCTATATGGACTGTCCTATCTCAAAGCTTACCCTGTTACCCAGGGACCTTTCCTAACTGCTCCTTAGGCTTGCTGCTGGGGGCTGCAGGGATTTGTCCCAGGACTAGTCCTTTCTCCCTGGCTAACCCTGTAATAGCTCACTAATTCCTTTTATTTCAGGGATCTCTTGTCTCAGGGGTTCTGGTTTAATGCCACAGAGCGGCACCCCTGAGTCTCAGCTTCGCCCTCCCTTTTCTATAGTATTGTTATTATTATTATTATTGTTCTAAAGAAGTGGTAGACACAGCTCTCTTACTTGCCCCTAACACTATCTCTCAATACCCTATTCTCCTCCATAGCACGAACACTTTGGTACATATATGTTCAAATCCAGTGTGTGTGTATCATGTGTATTTCCCCAAATAGGCTATAAACTTGATGAAAACATTAAATCAAACACTTGAGACAATAGCTGAAATAAAAGAGTTTACTGAGCCATTGCAGATGCTAGCCAAGAAAAGGCAGGACCATGTCCTGGGACAAGTTCACATAGCCCCCAGCAGCAGGGCTAGGTGGCAGTTGGAAAATGTCCACCAGACCAGAACCAAGAGCATTTCTCTAAACTCCGGGGAAGCAAAACACTGCAGCCTGGAGTGGCTACTGAGAAGAGAGGCAGGATGATGAGGGTAATGTGGAGCAGGAAAGGCTTGCGCTAGAAGAGCAGGAGCAGTAACATTTGCTCCTGGAATGGCTGGGGTTAGCCGTGTCCACAGTGTCCATGTAAACAGAGCAGACTGACCTTGCTATCTGCTTAGGTGGGATTTTTTAAGTCAAGGTTCAACACTGACAACCATTTTGTTGGTTTCCCCCATAGCTGATAACTGGTTAACTGCTCTTATCTGTCCCATCCTCTAGTCTTTGTCATTAAATTTTGGTCATCTCAGAACTTTTTTTTATTAAGAGCAAAGACTTTAGTGCCTACCCTATATGTGTGGCTAACCACACAATAGATGTTTATTGCTGAATGAATGCGCAGGGGCCTAGACCCCTCTGGCCTGCAGACCTCTCACTGAAACCAGTTCAAACAGAGATCAAAATTGGTGAACTCAGGATTTCAGAAAAAACACAAGAGGTCATTGTTTGGGAGTAAGTTCCCTCCCTGAGCTCCAGCAAACCTGGTTAAAAATCAAAATGGAGCTATCAGGCTAAAGTTCCGGGCTACCATGCTGAAACTAAGCTGTTTACCTTCACGAGGTGAAGATTAGAGAGATGACAACCACATTTCCCAAACAGGTTCATTTCAGGCAAAAGTAGCCCAGAGGAATCTGACGTTCACTCATCAGCTGTTTTCCTACCACTGTGTCTCCCTACCTCCCCCTTACACGGGAAGAAGCTGAACTGACCAGTACACTCTTTATTCTTTTGTCTCTGCTCCCTTCTGCTTTTACCTGTATATAAAACTGCAATCTTCTGCTAGCCCCTGGGAGCATTACTCTGTATTGTAGGATGAAGTGTTGCCCAATTCTAGAATAGCATAAAGCCAATGAAGTTTTTAAGCTCAGATGTAATTTTGTCCTTTAACACAAATATCCAAGAAGTTTAGGAAGCAACTGGCTTCAATCATGGCTCCATTGAGGTTAGATTAAATGCTTTCCTTCTTCCTCTTCTCTTCTTCCTCTTTCCCCTGTCCTCCTCCTCCCAGTGGTCCCCCGACCCCCTTACTGCTCCTCTGTTTCTGTTCTTCCTTCCTCTGCAGCTGGGCTCCTCCACCTCCTCACTGTGATGACAATGGCAGCGGGCTAGTATCCCAAAGGAAGAAAGCACATCTACCTCCACGGAAGCATTTCAGTTTCAGGGTGAGCATGTCAGACTTGGACAGACCTGTGTCCTAGTCTACTGGTACACATGGGTTAGGGATGTGGTGCAGTGACTGGCAGCCCTCTCTAAAACCACACAGAAGAGGGAGTCGTGTTTTCCCAAAGGAAGGGATGCTGGGCAGATGAAAACAACGTATGTCTGCCATAAAAATTGTCCGAGAGAATTTTATTCAGGAGTTAGGGAGAAGCTGCTTTGAAGATGAAGCAACACCCTGCTCCTTGGTTGGAGCTACATTATGACCCTGTGAAGTGTTTGACTTAGATCATAAACATTTAAATGAAAGACTGCACTTTAGTCTTCGAGTTAAAGGCTTTAGTGAGTCAAGTATAGTGTAAAGAAAAGCACACCTGCAACCTGACACATCTATCTGCTCCACAAAGCAAAGAACTGCAAAACAATTTTTTTTGGTTTGTTTATTTTGGCTTCTAGCCAAATAGGAACTGTAGAAATTTGTTTGCAGTGTTGGAGAGGAAGTGTGCTTCTCTGTCAGCACCACAGGATGCAGATCCCCATTTCACAGAGAAAAACCTGCAGGCAATATGCTCACTTTCCTGTGCGTATGGAAAAACAGAGCGCCCTTCATTCACATGACCACTAAGGCAGTGGTGGTACTGGTATTTTTGTAGACTCGATTCTGAAAGGAGGAAGTAGGTTTTCAGTTTTGAGCATTTTTAAAAATTTGCCTTGTTCCTTGTGTTTGCAAGCTAGCTTCTGGAAATGAGGTAATAATCAGAATTTTAAAAAATCTTTCCATAGCTGTTGAAATTTGAAGGTACTTTACTTTTATACTCTTTCCATATTGGCCAGAGTTGTCTGAAGAGGTAGTGGTTTTTATAAATAAATGAGAACGGATGTGAGGAGTGTTCTACTCAGATGGTCAAAGAGCAAGACCAGAGACCTCAACACTGCTACAAAGCAGTGCACAGAAAGCATTACAGTGGTTCTTTTTGTCACTTTTTTATTATTATAAACTGAATCTTGAGGAAAAGCAACAGTGAATTTTTCACCTCTTGAAGTTATAAATATATATGATTAACAAGAAAAATGCCAAAGGAAATGAAAATAGCCTCATATCCTGTACTTCCTGACATCCTCTTTTGATTTTGTGTAGTTTCCTGTCATTATTTTGCAATGTATTTGTTTTTAAGGACGTTTCTTTAGCAAGAAAAGAGGAGACAAGCAACCAACCCTCCCCCCGTAACACACCGTCACTCTGTAAACTTGTTACATGCCCATGTTCTTAATATCAGAATTTGGGCAGTGAGCTAAGCTTGTGGTTTTGATGCTCACTGTGAATCATGACATTAGTGAATAATGAAATTAATGGGCAGAGATAAACTCAGTGCTGTGGCATCCCTGTGGGGTTACTTTCACAGATCTAGATCCTCAGGCTGTAGGAGTCTATGCCACTCACCTGAGCTCACAGAGACAGTAAAAGGGAAGGCAGCAGGGGAATCTTTCAGTCTCTAAAACCCAAGTCTTAACTACAAGAGCTTTTTGTAATATAGCTCCCAATAATTCTGGATATCTCACATTATAGATATAGCTGTAAATAAAAGAAAACTATTCTCTAATATTTCTCCTCCTCCTCCCTCTTTTCTTCTTTTTCTTTCTTTCTTTCTTTCTTCTTTCTTTCTTTCTTTCTTTCTTTCTTTCTTTCTTTCTTTCTTTCTTTTTCTTTCTTTCTTTTTTGTTTTTTGAGACAGAGTCTCACTATGT